GGATTATTGTGATGTTTTTATCAGCTGTTTGGACTCTCATTCTGACGGCACCCATTCACTGCAGAGGATGCATTGCTGAGACAGTGATGCAATGCTACATTTCTCCAAATCTGATGAAGAAACAAACTCATTTGTATCTTGGATGGCCTGAAGGTGAGTAAATGTTAAGTAAATTTACATTTTTGGTTGAATTATTCCTATAAAAACTGGGTTAAATAACATTAGTTCACCCAAAAATGAAAATTCTGACATTTACTCGCCCTCATGTCATTTCACATGTTGTCTTGGTTATAATGAAATTTTCCATGACATTCTAATTTATTGAGATGCACCTGTATGTTTTGGCTTATTGTATACCTTTATGAACACAAACGTACACAACCATATTTAAAGTATAACTTTGAGTCCTAAATGAACTGCACTGCTATTATATTACCACTGCCAAAGATTGCATTTAATCACTGATTTATATAAATCTTTTTAATATTACTTTGTATGTGTATTATATATATAAACACACAGTGACAATGCAAGCACCATGAATATCAATAAACTGGTTTGACTAGAGACCTTAGTTGTTCAGAATACTAGCTTACTGCACAGTGTATATTGTGTACTATTAATTAGCATGTGAAACAATAAGCATTTCAAACACTGGTATGCAACATTGATGTCATATGACCTCACTGTGTTGCGTTTTTGAGTGGCTTGGAAATTACAATTATTATTTTACATTTTAAATCCAATTATTTAGTCTATTATCTAACTTTAGTCAGATTGCTTAAGGCAATTGGTCAGTGAAATTGCTTATTCCCACTGGAACCGGAAAACCAATCAAGCGCATTGCATTATGGGATGCAGTATTTTAATCAATAATATATTTTGGTTGTGTACTGCATATTTCGACCAATAGGTACAAAACTATTCAAATATTTGGAGTTGGTAAGATTTTTTTGATGTTTTTCAAATACGTCTCTTCTGCTCCCCAATGCAGCATCTATATGATCAAAAATACAGTAAAATCAGTAATATTGTGAAATATTATTACAATTTCAAATAACTGTTTTCTATTGTAATATATTTCAAAATGTAATTTATTCCTGTGATCAAAGCTGAATTTTCAGCATCATTACTCCAGTCTTCAGTGTCACATGATCTTCAGAAATCATTCTAATACGCTGATTTGCTGCTCAAGAAACATTTCTGATTATTATCAATGTTGAAAACAGTTGTGCTGCTTCATATTTTATGGAAACCGTGATAGATTTTATCTTCAAGATTAGAATAGAAAGTTCAAATGAGCAGCATTTATTTGAAATAGAAAGATATTACAAAAGTCTTTACTGTCACTTTTGATTAATTGAATGCATCCTTGCTGAGTAAACTCTTACTGACCCCAAACATTTGAACAGTAGTGTATGTAGTGCGCATTATGCATACTAAAGCAAGATTTTGAACGCAGCCCTTGTTGCGTGACTCCGGTTTAGAGGCGAGACCTTGTCTGGTTTGTCACATGACCTGGGTTAACTGGCTGTTGTGTCTTTTTCCCGTCGGTACGGCGTATCCATCCTCACTGATGCGTGTCTGTAGGGTCACAGTGTAGTCTGATATGAAGTCGATCCCTCCTCTTCACTGCTGTTCAGAAGCGGCTGTCTCTCCCCATATGACTTTCTCCTCTTCGGCCGTCTGCGACATGCCACAGTGATAATGGCTGCAATAATTCCCGCCACAGCCGCCCCGAGGATCCCCGCGGCCAGCAGCCAGCGCCAGATCTCCCGAGCTTGCTCTAGATATGGTGTCAGAAACTCCTGCACAAACCGCTGACCTGACACAGAGAAAAGTGATTGAGAACAGAGAGAGACTGAAGAAGCAAGAAAGTCTCTGAATGCATGCAAATGACTCACTTGGGTCCTGTAAATATGCATATTCATAACCCAGAGCTTTAGTCGAGAGGAAATAATCTCCGTTTCTGTAGAGAGGGATGAAGGGGACCATGTAATAGCCGTCGTTGTGTCCGATCGGGGCGTTGGCGGTGGGGTAGTGTGTGCGTGGGGGCTGGTGTCTCCTCAGCCATTGCTCAAAGATGCTGAAACAAACGCAGAGTTGCAATGAGAAAGTCAATGGGGAATGAGGTTAATCATGTTTGGATTCATGTTTCAGTGAAACCTTCTCAGCTATTGTTGTGTTTTGCATTCAAATATGCTTTAGGTTGTTCTGGCCAGTTGCTATAGATGGTTTCTTACTGGCTCAAGTCAAAAAAGCCAACCCTCGAAATTTCTTGAGGTTTTTGCTGATTATGGGTTGAATTTGTATGAAACAATTAAAATATGCATTAAACAAAAATGCAAAACTGCGTTAAATTCAACCAGACAAAGTTTAGAAGCTAAAGTTTTGTTGTCTGTCTCACATTAAAATGTCAAATTAAAATGCACTGAATTTAACTTTGGGATGTCCCAAACTGGGGTTCGCAAATCCCTGCGGGTTTGTGAGTTGATGAATTGCTAATAATTAAATCTTTAAAATGTAAAATTAAAATAAATCATCTTAAAATAAAATAATCAAAACAAAACTAATAAAAAAGAGATATGAGAAAATGTGTATATTTAAAATGCACTGAATTTAACTTTGGGATGTCCCAAACTGGGGTTCGCAAATCCCTGCGGGTTTGTGAGTTGATGAATTGCTAATAATTAAATCTTTAAAATGTAAAATTAAAATAAATCTTAAAATAAAATAATCAAAACAAAACGAATAAAAAAGAGATATGAGAAAATGTGTA